CTCCTGCTCTGCCTACCACTCCTCCACCTCATCCTCCTCCCACTCCTCCTACCCCTACTCCTCCTACTCATCCTCCTCCGCCTCCTGCTCTGCCTACTACTCCTCCACCTCGTCGTCCTCCTCATCCGCTTCCTTGAGTGTCAATCGTCTCCTCCTCCTCCTCCTCCTCGTCCTCCTCCTCCTCCGCCTCCTCCTCCTGCTGCCTCCTCCTCCTCCTACTACTCTCCTCCTTCTCCTCCTCCTCCTCCTCTGCTCCTCCTGACCCGCCTCCTCCTGCTAGTCATCCTCGTCATCATCCTCCTCCTTCTCCTCCTCCTCCTCCTCGCTCCACCTCCTGCTTCCTCCTCCTGATCCTCCGCCTCCGTCTCCTCCTCATCCTCATCTCCTCCTCCTCATCCTCCGCTGTCCTCCTGTCCCTCCTCATCCTCACACCACTCCGCCTTTCCTCCTCCTCCTCGTCCTCCTCCTCCTCCTCCTCATCCTCCTCCCCGTCCTCCCTCCTTCTCCTCCTCCTCCTATCCCCTCGTCCCTCTCCTCCTCCTCCTCCTCCTCCTCCTCCCTCCTCCTCCTCCTCCTCCTCTTCCTCTCCCGCCTCCCTCCTCCCCCTCCCTCCTCCCTCCTCCCTCCTCCCTCCTCTCGCATCCCTCCTCCCTCCTTATCCTCCTCCTCCTCCTCCTCCTCCTCTTCGTTCCCTCCTCCTCCTCCTCCTCCTCCTCCTCCTCCCTCCTCCTACCTACTGATTCCTCCTTCTCCTCCTCCTCCTCCTCCTCTGCTCCTCCTGTCCGCCTCCTCCTGCTAGTCCTCCTCCTCATCCTCCTCCTCCTTCTCCTCCTCCTCATCCTCACACCACTTCTCCGCCGTTCCCTCCTCATCGTTCTCCTCGTCCTCCTCGTCCTCCTCGTCCTCCTCGTCCTCATCGTCCTCCTCCTCCTCCTCCTCCTCCTCGCTCTCCATCCTCCTCTCCATCCTCCTCCTCCTCCTCCTCATCCTCCTCCTCCTCCTCCTCCTCATCCTCCTCCTCCTCCTCCTCCTCCTCCTCCTCTCCCCTCTCTCTCTCGTTCCCTCCTCCGCCTCCTCCTCTCTCCTCCTCACACAATCCTCCACCTCCTCCCTCCTCCTCTCCTCCTCCTCCCTCCTCCTTCTCCTCCTCCTCCCCCTCCTCCTCCGCCTCCTCCTCCTCCTCCTCCTCCTCCTCCTCCTCCTCCTCCCCTTTCCTCCTCCTACTCCTCACACCCTTCCTCCTTCTCATCCTTTTCCTCCTGCTCCTCATCCTCGTCCTCCTCCTCCTCTTTCTCCTCTCCTCCTCCTCCTCCTCCTCCTCCCCTTTTCTCCTCCTACTCCTCACGCCCTTCCTCCTCCTCATCCTTCTCCTCCTCCTCCTCCTCCTCCTCCCCTTGTCCTCCTCTCCAACTCCTTCTCCTCCGCCTCCTCCTCCTCCTCCGCCTCCTCCTTCTCCTCGCCTCTCCTTCTCCTCCTCCGCCTCCTCCTCCTCCTCCTCCTCCTCCTCACACAACTCCTCCAACTTCGCCTCCTCCTCCGCCTCCTCCTCCTCATCCTCCACCACTGTCGCATCGTGCAGCCTTGCAAACAGAGCACCGTTGAGCCGATCCCCATCCCCACGGGCGTGGACTGGGCCCCGCTGGCCGATTTACCCCTTACATGAACATGTTTGGCACTGGGTTGGCACGCCAAGGACCCGCGCGGCACAATCTGGACATATCGCGCGCGGCTGGCAGGATTACCGCAGGCACAGGGAACGCCTAAACACAAGGCGTCAGTGAAACGGGCGTAAAGCACACACACACACAAATGCAGTAATCAGTACGAGGGGCAGGCACACACACAAATGCAGCACACCAAAATCATGATCCTCCTCCTCTGCCTACTACTCCTCCACCTCCTCCTCCCCCTCCTCCCCTTCCTCCTCCTCCTCCTCCTCCTCCTCCTCCTCCTGCTCCTCCTCCTCCTCTCCTCCTCCTCCTCCTCCTCCTCCTCCTCCTCCTCCTCCTCCTCCTCCTCCTCCCCCCTCCCCCTCCTCCCCCTCCCCCTCCCCCTCCCCCTCCCCCTCCTCCTCCTCCTCCTCCTCCTCCTCCTCCTCCGCCTCCTCCTCCTCCTCCTCCTCCGCCTCCTCCTTCTCCTCACACCACTCCTCCTCCACCTCCTCCTCTTCTTCTTCCTTCTCCTCCTCCTCCTCCGCCTCCTCCTCCTCATCGCTCGGGCAGGGGCCCAGGGACAGAAGCACATCTAAGTAGGAGCGCACCCAGAATCCCCACTATTGTCCATTGTCTCACGGATCCCAAAATTCCCACCACTTCCCAAACTCTCTGGATGTGCGTCTTCCCCTGCCACTTCCTCGGGGATCTACTGACCCGGGTAAGTGCAAGCCAGGGTCGATCTGGCCTTGCAGGATCCTGGATCCTGCAAGCTCCTGCACGCAAGCCTGGCTCAGTGCACCCCTGGCCCTGCAGGATTCTGCAAGATCCCCGTTTGCATCGATCCCCGTCTCTTGAGCCCCGACTTCCCATATCATAATTTTCGGGGGGGGGGGGGGAACGACGATGATGGGTGTGTGTGTGTGTGGTGTGTGTGTGTGGTGTGTGTGTGTGCGTGTGTGCGTGCGTGCGTGCGTGCGTGCGTGCGTGCGTGCGTGCGTGCGTGCGTGCGTGCGTGCGTGCGTGCGTGCGTGTGTGATACACACGAGGCGTCCACATATGGTGCAAAATCCATACATACTCAGGCCTATCAATAGCGTCTGCACCCTCCCGGCAGAGCTCAAAGGACTGAGCTGCTCGAAGGTCGCGACCAACGGGCCGACCGCCCCTCCTCCCCTCCCCCCCCCGGGGCCGCGCGCCGGAGCGAGGCTGACGAGATCCGCACAAGGCAGACGGCACCGCAGCAATGGGGGCCTGGGCCCCAGAACCCCTCGCGCCGTGACGAGACAGCGACGGAGGCTTCTTGGGTGATCTCCGCTGTCTGGGGGACCCCCTGCCCGGCCCTAGGGGACGTCAAAGCACCACACGCAGAATGCAAAAACGGGTCCCCGGACAGGGGTCAGGACCTCTTGGAGCCCACGTCATGAACAAATCACGACGCCGGGGGTCTGGGGGGAGGATGCTCTGCGGAGCCACGAAGGGTTCCATGACGCCCGTGCCGTTGCCAAAGAAGTCGAGGCACGAACTCGAGACGCCTTCGTTCTGCAAGCCCTGACGCCGTGGCGCGCCACGAAGCTGACAGATCCCAAATTCCAGAGGGCGACGAGAGGCGCCCACCAGCATCGCGGGCCCACTCCCCCAAGACCCTCCTCCTCCCCCTCCTCCTCCCCCTCCTCCTCCTTCCCCTCCTCCTCCTCCCCCTCCTCCTCCCCCTCCTCCTCCCTTCCCCCTCCTCCTCCTCCTCCTCCTCCCCTCCTCCCTCCCTCCCTCCTCCTCCTCCTCCTCCTCCCCCTCCTCCCCTCCTCCTCCCCCCCTCCTCCTCCTCCTCCTCCTCCTCCTCCTCCTCCTCCTCCTCCTCCTCCTCCTCCTGTGAGGGAGCCCGTCGCCGCCGCCCGCCGCAGCCACCGGCCAAAGGCGCGGCGTCGGCCGCGGACGCGATCCGGGGCAGCCGGCGCCGCCGGCCGCGCGCATCCGCGCAGGGCGGCGGGCCCGCGGCGCTCTCCACCGGCGGAGGCGCGAAGGGCCTGCAGCTCGCTCTCCTGCTGCGCCTGGCGCCGGCTCGCCGTCGACGCCGCCGCCGGCGTCGCGGTATAGCGCTCCCCTCGGCGCCAGGAGTCGTCGGCATTGTGTGCTCGAGAGCTCCAGAGCAGGGGTGAGCCTAAACGGTGTTTTTCGATGTTTCGTTTCGTTTTCGTCTTCCCTCGTTTTGTCTTCAGTCCACCTCTGCCGCAAAACGAAGTCGAAACGACAACGGCCCACGAAATCGCCAAAACACCGTTTAGGTCCAGCCCTGCAGCAGCAGTGCACGGATGGCCTCCTCGAGATGATGGAAGTTGCGTCACCCGAGCCGTCGTCGAGCCGACGTCGTCGTCGAAGATGGCGTGCACGACACCGCCGACGCCTGGCAGCAGCGATACTGCGATGCGCCTGTTACGACGGCGACGAGCTCTGCCCCGACGGTTGTGAGCAACTGCGACAAGCTCCCATAATGGTAAACAGCTTTAGGTCGGGCACGTCCTCCTATAGGCGGATGTTTGAACGAACAATGAAACAGAATCAACGACTACACCAACATAATCAAACAATGCTCACAACATCGTCCCAGAACTACGTCTGACTATTTTTCAACATTCTTCCTGCAGAGGGACAGGCCCGACTTGAAGACAGGCTCTGGTGGCGTCGCCATCACCGTCGTCACTCGGAGCTCGAGGGGTTCGGGCGTCGCAGGGTCCTTGCCGTCGTCGTCGTTGCCGCCGCCGCCGCCCTCCAAAATGACCCCCACTCCCTCCCTCCTGCCCCTCCTCGTGCCCCTCGTCCGCCTCCTTCTCCCTCCTCCCCCTGTTCCTGCTCCTCCTCCTCCTCCTCCTCCTCACGCAGCCTCTTTCGCGCCTCGCGCGGGCCCTCGGAGCCCCAGACTCGGCTCACCGGGGCCCTGCTGGACGATCTGGGAGTTCCCTGCAGAACGTCCTCGGCGAGGCACAGCTACTGAAGGCATCTCGAGGCCTGAAAACCGACGAGAGGCGACGAGAACGTATAACAAAACCTCGAGCCGGGATGGCAGCAAGGAGCTCACCGAAGGCACTCGTGCGTTTGCGAAAAAATGCGTCTGCAGCAAAAGAGGTTTGCCTTCAGAAATGCTTGCATTCAGCGGCAATGGCTGAATGAAAATTGTTTTTGCCGTCGGCGAGCTCATCTGCACCAGAATACAGACAACGCCACCCCACCGACGGCCCCATCAGGCTTAACGTAGACAAGGAAATCAGGCGTGGGCTTTGACGCAGTGTGCGCTCAATAGAGGGCCGCCGGTGGGATGGTGCCGTTTGTTTTTTGGTCGATCGTTGCCGAAACGAACAACTTGCCATCCCTCGGGCGTCCACTCCCCGTGCAATGTTCGATATCGTGCGTATTTGTCTGGCTAGATTGTCCAGGATGCTCCTCGGAGGACCTCGCCGAAAAACACACACATATGCACACGCACACACACACACACACACACGCACACACACACACACACACTCTCACACACACACACACACGCATGCACGCAAGCACGCACGCACGCACACGCGCACGCACACGCGCACGCGAACGCGCACGCGCACGCGTACGCGCACGCGCACGCGCACGCACACGCACACGCACACGCACACGCACGTGCACACACACACACACACATACGCACGCACGCACGCACGCACGCACACACACACGCACGCACGCACGCACGCACGCACGCACGCACGCACACACACGCACGCACGCACGCACGCACGCACGCACGCACGCACGCGCGCACGCGCACACGCGCACACGCGCACACACACACACACACACACACACACCACGTACACACACGTACACGCACACACTTCTGCAGCCGGCAGCGAGGAGGGCCCTCCACCGCGTGCAGCAAGTGCGAATGCCAATTGCGATCGAGTTTTGCACACGCACACGCACACTCACACTCACACACACACACGCACACGCACACGCACACGCACACGCACACGCACACTCTCTCTCTCTCTCACACACTCACACGCACACGCACACGCACACGCATACGCACGCGCGCACGCACACACACGTCCGAGCGATGCCAACGCAGGTGGCCGCGAGCGCGCGGAGGGCGGCGCGGACGGGCGGCCTGCGCGAGCTCCTCGCGGCCGCGCGCGAGCTCGGCGCGCCCTCGGGCCGCGGCCTCGGCGAGCTGGCGGTTGAGGGCGCGGAGCTCCTGCGGGGCTTCGGGTGCGAGCCCGCGTCTCGCGGAGGGGGAAGAGGATGAAAGGGCTCTGGGACACACAGATAAATCGATACAAAGACACAGATTCTACATTTTGTCTCCTATTTTCTGGATTTTCGTCTTCCCGCCCACTTCCCATATTTCCACATAATTTCCTGGGGGTCGACGATGAATTGTGTCTGTCTGTGTGTGTGTTTCCCCTCCCCAGAGGAGGAAAACGTACCCATGCCGAAGCCCTCCTCCTCATTTTCGCCTCTCTGGGCCTCCTGGGAGGCCCTCGTCGCCACGGCTGGACTCGCCTCGAAATCTCGGGCAGGACGCACCCCTGGAGAGGTCCAGGGAGTAGCGGTATCGGCACCTGCTGATTTCCCCAATCCGAGGCCACCCTGCCGATAGAGGGGGCGTGGCTGGTGGCTACCTTCTTCTTCCCTGGCCTCCGACTCGGCACGATTGAAAAAGGGTACTGAAAGAGTTGGAACGCAGGCCGGCAGCAACGCTTGCTCATTCTGCGCCTGGCATCGGTACCGTCCGGTTCCCCCAGTCTTGGCGGCGAGCCCAGGATTGGCAAGGACGAGAATGTTCAAAGCTGATCTTGTTGCGCCCGGTCAGTGACGGCCGATCACTTCAGATCCAGCCCCTCCCCGCAGTGCCCGGTCGCCCCCCGGCGCCATCAGAGCAGAACTCACGCGCTGGCCCCCGAGAGAGGGAGCGGGACAACGGAACAGAGAGGGGATGCATCGTGAAGCTGCATCGTCAAGTTCCACTGTCAACTTTCGAAGGCGCCAAGGAAGACGTAAACAAATTGACACTAGCCCAAGGACTCCAATGCATGTGACCTATTTCCTGGATGCTCTGCTTCCCTTCCTCTTCCCATAATCACCACATTATCCTGGGAATTGGCGACTAGTTGTGTCTGTGTCTCTCCCCTCCTGACCTTTTCCAGGGGAGGTAGCATGAGTGTCACGGCAGATCGCCAAACGTTGTATGCTTGGGGTGGTCCAGCAGGGCGGGTTTACCACGGCCTCGGTGCGCCTGGTCCGCGGAAGACGTCAGCGAAGAGAAGCAGGGAGGAGGGGGAGGAAGATGAAGAGGGAGATGAGGAGGAGGAGGAGGAGGAGGAGGAGGAGGAGGAGGAGGAGAAGGAGGGGGGAGGAAGAGGGAGAGGGAGAGGGAGAGGAGGAGGAGGAGGAGGAAGGGGAGGATGAGGAGGAGGATGAGGAGGAGAAGGAGGAGGAGGAGGAGAAATAGGAGGAGGAGGAGGAGGGGGAGGAGGAGGGGGAGGAGGACCTCCCGATCCTCCCTTCTCGTCCGTCCTACCTACGGTAGCGGTGGTGGAAAGGTGGCCCACCACCCCTCCTCGATCGCCTCCCAATTGCGCTTTCGGTTGCACGTGCCGCACAGGAGTCCGCACATGCCTCAGGGTGGGGCACCTGCCGAGGGCGCTGCGCCAAATCTGACCGCACCTCCGGCCTTCGGCGCCGGGCGTGCGGGGCTTCTGAGAAGGCGGCGGGGCTGCTCAAACACGAGAACTCCTCGCGCCTTCTGGGGAGCCGCCCGTGAAGGCCTGCGCGGCTTCTCAGGAAGCGCGAGGGCTTCTGAGAAGCAAACTCGGGCCACTGGCGGACGTCCAGGACGACCGGGGCACAGCTGGACGCCTCTCGGCGCGGGACGCAGCAAATGGAGAGCGCACCGAGGCAGAACACCCTCCAGGAATCTACGGAAACGTGCGAAAACGCTCTCGCAAGGCTGCGCAGCCGCTCCGCTTGGGCAACTTAGGAGGCCTGGAAGGTCTTTGTCAAAACGATTTGACACGATTCAACCCGATTCAGGGGCCACTGAGCAGGATTGGGCTGGATGATGCCCAGGATTCGGCTGGATGGCGCGGGATTAGAGCGGATTCATATGGAGTGAATCGGTTTTAGCGGGAGTAAGCCAGATGAGGCGGGATTGAGCCAGAGTAGGCCAGCTTGTGGTCAGGGGATCTACCAGCGCCGATTCCGAATCCAAGGTCCCAGGAGTTGCATCCTGGACAACCGGAGTGAGTATCGTTTAACCGATCCCCATCCCCGGCGGCGTGGCCTGAGCCCCACTGGCCAATTTACCCTCCTAGATGGGGATAGAAGCCGTTCCCTTCGGGTTTCGAGGGGTGCATCCCCAACTGGGGTGGTAATTTGGTGGGGTCCTCAATGCGGATAGGGATGGGGCTGGGGATTGTTTAAACGATACCGACGGAGGGCTGCACGACGCGCCAATGCACGGAGGGCCAGGCAGCGGGGGTTATGGGCCCGTTCTCCACCACCGCCACCACAAAGTGGGGGGGGGGAAGGAGGAGGACGAAGAGGAGGAGGAGGAGGAGGAGGAGGAGGAGGAGGAGAAGGAGGAGGAGACCCCCTCCCCCTCCAACTTATGGTGGTGGTGGAGGTGGAAAACGAACCCAACAAGGGGCCCACGCGACGGCACAGGGCCACGGCCGCGCGTCGCCCCCCCCTGGGCTCTGCAGGAAGTGGGGGGGCAGGCCCCAGGTGCGGCTCGCCCCCTCCCTCCTCCTCCTCCCTCCTCCCTCCTCCTCCTCCTCCTCCCTCCTCTCCTCCCCTCTCCGCTTCCGCCTCCTCCTCCCCTCCACTCCTCCTCCTCCTCCTCCTCCCCCCTCCTCCTCCTCCTCCTCCTCTCTCCTCCTCCTCCTCCTCCCTCCTCCCCTCCCCCCTCCTCCCTCCCTCCCTCCTCCCTCCTCCCTCCTCCCTCCTCCCTCCTCCCTCCTCCCTCCTCCCTCCTCCCTCCTCCCTCCTCCCTCCTCCCTCCTCCCTCCTCCCTCCTCCCTCCTCCCTCCTCCCTCCTCCCCCCTCCCCCTCTTCCCTCCTCCTCCTCCTCCTCCTTCTCCTCCTCCTCCTCCTCCTCCTCCTCCTCATCATCCCTCCTCCCTCCTCCTCTTTTGCGGACCGGGAACCACGTAATTTGGTGGGCCAGCCTCGCACAAGCCGCGGGAGCAACGCCAGGAGAAACCAAGAAATACGGTCACCGTCGTCCTGCGCCTCCTCTCCTGGAGGGGCTTCCAACTCAGGCGTCCGCGAAGCATTCAATCCCATGCGGGGATCAGTGCCAGGGGTGTGCACAACGCTGAGACGGTATGCAGACCACCTGGAGGGAGGGAGAACAGTGAGGGCGGAGGGCGGAAGTGGGATGCGAGGGCGTCACGGAGGGCGGGAAGACAGACGAGGTAGGAGTAAGACGGGAGGAAGGAGGCGGTATGAGTGAAAAGGGGAGGCAAGTCAGAACCCGAGGCTTCTGGAGGTCTCGGAGGCCTCCGACCACCAAAAATGTACAAGGACCTCGAGCCTCGATCCCGGAGAGGGGTGCAGGCTGTGGAGGAGCAGCGGCAAGAGGAGGCGAGGGGAATCGGAGAGATGCAGGCGCGCGAGCAAGGGAAGCCGCAGCTTGCATAGGGGTCGGACTCCTGCTCTTTCCCCTCCTCCTTCATTGAATTGCTAATCGGCGGAGGCCGCTGGCCGCGTGCGACGCGGAGCCCCGGCCCGCCACCCCATCCTGCAACTCTGCGTTCTCCCGGTGGGTGACCGCCTTGCTCCGCCCCGGCGGGAGCTTGTGGGGGAGGGGGCGTGGGGGGAGGGAGGATGAGGATGAGGAGGAGAGGGGGGAGGATGGAGGAGGAGGGAGGGCGAGGGAGGCATAGGGAGGATGAGGATGAGGAGGAGGAGGAGGAGGACTGAGGGGGGGGTGCGGAGGGAAAGAGGGGGATGAGGATAAGGATGAGCATGAGGCTGATGATGATGATGATGATGATGATGAGGAGGAGGAGGAGGAGGAGGAGGAGGAGGAGGAGGAGGACGAGGAGGAGGAGGAGGAGGAGGAGGAGGCGGAAGAGGAGGGGATGCACGAATGCAGTAAGAAGACTGCGCCTGCTCACATACAGAGCTCTACCAGAGACGCTTTCTGGGAAGACATCAAGGACGCAGCAGGAAAACCTTCCTGCGAGCCGGACCTGGAACCGAAATTACCCCTGCAACCCGGGCGCCGAAGAATGGTTGCCTACCCTTGGGACGTCGGCCAATCTCCAGCTGGGACAGGACCCGTCTCCGAGAGGGCGGCGGATCCAGAGGGCCAGGGCAGAGGGGGGGCAGAACAAAACCCTGCCCACCCTGATGGACCCGTAGGCCCCGCACCGCCGACACCAGACGACCGCACCCGGGACGGAGAAGTCGCGGCCCTCAGGCGTCGAGGTCCTCGCGGACGGCCCGACGGCCCCGCGACAGCCCCCCGCGGGCCAGAAAGACCCCCCCCCCCCCCAAGGAGCTCCACGCCCGCCCCCCCCTGGGCAAGACCAGGGCCCCCACCGCCAGGCCCGGCAGGAGCCGCCCCAATCACCACCCCCGCGAAGCAGGGCGCCACGGCCTCGCCACTGAGGGCAGGCAGAGGCCCCTCCCCATTGGCCCCAGCCGAGCACCCAGCCGTAGCCGACCCATGCCCAACAACGGCAGCAAGAACCACGCCCGACGAGAGACCCGCAAGTCGCAAGCAGGAGGGAACGGCGTCAGCCTCAACAGTCCGAGCGTGCATCGCTGAGATCTCCCAGGGACGACAAAGCCTGTCCGTTCCACCAACAGTGTACGCAGAACTTCGGCACCTGCGACGCATCAGTCCCGCAGGCATCTCAACAAGGTCGTGCTTATGCAACGCGAAACTGTTTGTTTTCTGGTGTTCGACCTTGCTGGACTAGGCAAGGGTACTTGTGAGTTCTGTGTTCTCCGCCAAAAATTCGACGTTGCAGCACCGCTAGACAGTCCAAGTTTGGTACTTCACACGCTATCGTGCCCCAGAGGGTGCACCTTTGAAAAACTTGGCGCGCCCTTCCAGTAGCTTCACAAACAAGGCCCCAAACGAGGCGAAATAATCCGCCCGACTGTTCCCGACGTGCCACACATGCGGAGGAAAGGGGGAGAAAGGGGGAGGAAGGGGGGGCAAGAACAGGGAAACTGACCTCATCATCCGTCATGTGAGCACAGCACCAAGCAAACAAAGGCGGCTCACGGTCGAGCTCCGCAGGGTCTCCACACAGCAAGGTACGCTACGCTGCACTGGCATTTACATAGTCTTCCACGGCACCAGATCGCCAACCCTCGCCTTCACACGCAAACCCAAGCATATCAGACACGATGGGACAAATCGAAGGTTTTTGAAACCTGTAGCCCAATCATCCTCTGAGCTCGTTCGACTGTCTGCTGGGCGCCTGCGAATCCGCCGTGTAGGGCGCGAGCGGGGACTCTGCCGGCATCCAGTATCACTGCCGACCAGCCGCGTCGTCGTTGCTCGGGGACATCGCCGTGATATCCTGAGCCGTTGGTGCAAGAAACAACACATCGCCCCAGGAGACTGCTGGCGACGTCCAAGCGCCCCGGCAAAATGTGGGTGCCACCTCGAACGGAGGTGTCACACCAAGCTGCGGCCATCTTGAAGCACCGCTGGCAAGCGCAAGCGGGTCGACATCCGGGCGACCCTTACCAAACGGCCCATGCTCCAACATCGCATCGCGAGCTTCGGTCAGCTTGGGGCATGGGGCACAGTCCTCCTCCTCATCCAACACTCTCTTGGCGAGGGCAGAACACGGCAAACAACGTGGCCGGGCGTCGCCGCCGCACGTGGGCACGCTCGGCACTCCTGATCATCGCGCAACCCACGTTGACATCGCCTGGCGTCGGGCCACAAGGAACCCGACCAACAGCTGCGCAGATCGCCCGCGATCGCGCCATGATGCGGGTGGGCCTGGATAGCCAAGTCGAGAGCGATGCCGCCGCCGCGCCCTCGCGCCCCCCCCAGCCCGGCAGGCCCCGGACGCAGCGCCGCCAGCTCAGCGGGCGACTCTCCCCCGACCGCCGCTTCATGCGCCGCGGCTGGCAGTGGACCTGTGCGCCGCAGGCGCGCCGCCCTGGCGCCGGCCGTGCGCCGCGGCCCCGCCGCGCGCCTCATGTGCGGCCTCAGCATGCCAAGCCAGCCCCGCGCCACAACCCTCTTCGCCTTCGTGCCACTGAGGTCGTGGCCGCGGTTCCCCGCGCGCTCGCGGGCCCCGCTCTTGACCCGCTTGGCGAAGGGCCCCGCTGCTGCCCGGCATTGCTTCGAAAGCGCCGCGTAGCCAGATTCCAACACGTGCAGCTCCAGGCCCGCGCCCTCCGCGTCGCCCTCGCGCCGCTTGACGTTTGCCCACAACGCGCGCGCGAGTCCTGGCCCACCCGCTGCGCCGACGCGCCGTCCGCGAGGGCCCCCAGGACCGCGACCCGTCGAGAAACCTCGCCGCGATCGCCAGCAAAAGTGCAAGGAGCCCCCAGCGCGCTGCGTTGCTCCGCGAGAGCGAGCCGAACGCATTCGGCCCCCTGGGCGATTGGCGGTCTTTGAGGATCGCCCGCGCGAACCTGACTGGTCGCCTGCGCCTCCACCAAGCGCATGTTTTTGTGTTTGTTGTTCTTTGTTTTTGGTTTATTTTCTCTCTCTCTCTCTCTTTCTCTCTTCCTCTCTCTCTCTCTCTATGTATCTTTCTCTGTTTGTTTTGCTTTGTTGTTTCTCTCTCTCTCTCTTTTCTCTCTCTCTCTCTCTCTCTCTCTCTCTCTCTCTCTCTCTCTCCCTCACTCTCTCTCTTTTTTCTCTCTCTCTCTCTCTCTCTCGCTCTCCTCTTTTTTTTTTTTTTTTTTTTTTTTCTCTCTCTCTCTCTCTCTCTCTCTCTCTCTCTCTCTCTCTCTTTCTCCACCTCACTCTCTCCCTGCCCCCCTTTCTCTCTCGCTCTCCCCCTCTCTATGTCGTGTTTGTTGTTCTCTCTCTCTCTCTCTCTCTCTCTCTCTCTCTCTCTCTCTCTCCCTCTCTCTCTCTCTCGCTTTATCTCTCTCTCTCTCTCTCTCTCTCCCTCAGTGAACAAGTCGAGCACCTTCCACGCATCCGGGGCCTCCGTGACACTGCGGCCTCCCTTGAGCCCCTCGGCCTCCGCCAATCTGCCCCCGCCCCTCCCCTCCTTGGGTGGGCGCGCCAAGGTCGCGTAAAATATTGCGGGCGGCAGTGTCCACAGTTTCTCGCACTGACTAAACAACGCCAACAGCACAAACATGCCAATGTCGCTGCGACACCAGACGGCCAGAAGGGGCAATACCTGACTGCCCTGCTGCCAACCCCGTTTGATGCGCAGAACCGGAGCATTGGCCTGGTCGACGCGCAGACCACAGGAAGGTTCTCCCGCTGCTCGCGGCGCGCCCAGACCTCCGTCCACACCTTCTGCTCCTTATCCTCCATCTGGCGCGGCCCACCCTGCGTCGTGGCACGCCGCTCCTCCGCGGCAGGAGGGGCCCTCGAAAACCAGCGTGCCAGGCTCGTGCCACCCTCGATGGTCTTGGCAGCCCAGATTCGCCACTCCTTATCCCGCTCACTCACGCGCGCGCTGGCCAGCCTGTCCGACCCCCCCGTGATCTGCTGCACCTTGCCTGACTAACCCGGCCCGGGCATCTGCAGCAGCCCGCCGCCGAATCACGCAGACACCTCCATCGCCGAATGGTTCCTGACCATGTCCTCCGCGTGGATGTGCTCGTAGTTGGTCTCGACATTCAACTCAGCGATCGCGCCCGGCTGCTCCGCCGAGGACACCGCCGAGACCATGCAGAGTCGGCGTCGGCGCGCGTCCACTAGTCTCGCCTACCTCGCCGCAGCCATGAACGCACTCGCGCCCAGGTCGCGCAGCTTCCCCCAGTGCGGCGGCAGCCACTCAATGGCCATGCTGGTCTCAAGCTCCTGAACCCCGCGCCTGCAATGCTGTCGGCGCCCCCTCCCGACAAACGCCCGCCTGCCTCTCAACTCCACCTATTCCGACTTGACCGCGGCGCCCCGCGACGCCGCCAAACCTCGCCGCCGCGGCCATTCGCAATCGTTCAGAACGCGTGCGCCCCGAGCTATTCCGTGGAAAATGGCGCAGCGCCCACCGGTGCCACTGCCAAGGCACCGCGCGGCCCGATCGCAACCACCACGTGCACCTCGCGGTCCACCTCCAGCAAAGGCGCGTGGACAGTGTCGCGAGGGTGGGGGGCCGCATCTGTCGCGCCCCAAGCTCCGCCCAACCTGGAGTCCAAGTTGAAAACGCGATCACGCTGTCCGAGCGCGAACCCTCGGCCCGCTGCCAGCAGGCGTGAACCTTCGGCGCGGCGGGGGCCCCCCGGGCAGCCTCCAGCCGCGGGCCATGGAAACCGTCGACCTCCATGTTCCACTCCGCCAGTGCAACCCAGTCTAGCCCGCGCGCGCCGAGGGCCCTCAAGTAGGCCATCGGCAAGTAGACCGCGCCCGCACTATCGTCGCCCATGCCCGGCGCGCCACGCGCGCGACGACAACGATTAGGCGCCCTCTTCGCGCCTCAAAGGACGCGCCCTGCCACCGGCCTCGCCCCCTCCAACGCGCGTTTCGGCTGGAACGGTGGGGCCGCGACCGATATAACATTCCTCGTGAGTAGCGCCACTCCGCCCGACGTCTCCAGCGTCCCAGACCCCGTCGCCACGGCGGGCGCCAACATGCCGAGTAAGCCGGGGTCCTTCACCTCTCCC